GATCAAATTAAAAGAGTTTTTAATATAACTAATTGGACTAATTAGATTAAATCGGACAAAAACAGATTTAATCAGAATAAATTAAAGTCAAATCCAATAAGATCAGATCAAATCTTCAAAAATATTGAATCAAATCAAATTAAAATCTTGTATGATCAAATCAAATATTAAAAAATCAATTTAATTGTATAGGTCGTGTCATATTTGACTAATCTAATTCTTAAATGCATCATACCGGATCTAATTAGATTGAATCAGACAAAAATAGATCTAATCAGATCAAGTAAAATTCAAATCTATTAAGATCAAATCTATTAAGATCAGATCAAATCTTAAAAAACAATTTAATTATATAGGCCGTGTCCTGTTTGCCTGATCTAATCTATAAATGCATTAGATCAGACCAAATTAAATCTAAACAATTTACTTGTCAAGGTTGTGTCTTATTTGCCAGATATAATCTTTAAACGCATTAGATCGGACCTAATTAGATCGAATCAGACCAAAACAGATCTAATAGGGTAGGGTCGAATCAAATTCCAATGCAATTCAAAAATCTATTCACTTGTATAGGTTGTGTACTTGTGTCCTATTTGTCTGATCTAATCTTTAAATGCATTAGATCGGATCTAATTGGATCGAATCAGACCAAAATAGATCTAAACAGATCAAATCAAATTCAAATCCAATAAGATCAGCTCATATCTTCAAAGAAGAATTATTCACTTGTGTAGGTTGTGTCCTATTTGCCTCATATAATCTTTAAATACATCATATCGGACCTAATTAGATCAAATTAGACTAAAACAGATTTAATTGAATCCAATGAAATTCAAAGCCAATAAGATCAGATTAAATTTTCAAAAAGATATATTCATTTGTATAGGTTGTGTCTTATTTGCCTTATCTAATCCTCAAATACATAGGATTTGATCCGATTAGATCTGTTTTGGTCTGATTCGATCTAATTAGACCAGATCTAATGCATTTAAGGATTAGATCAGGCAAATATGACACAAATTAAGAAAAAAATGTATAAGTAATTTATTATTTTATTAGATCGAATGCATTTGGGATAAAATTTGTTAGATCCATTTGAAAACTCACTATTCGGTTCGATACATTATTGTTCCAGCTTGAAAGAATTTCAAACCGGTATTTTTACCTACCCCTAATTGAAAGTGATACATAAGATTGAAAGTGATACATAAGAGTGAGAAAATTTATGGACAAAAAAACTTTTTTGTTTCAAAAATTAGATTGCTTGCTTCTAAAATTTCATCACAAATTTTAGAATCCCTCAGGATTTTTCATCACCCGCCTAATATGTGCCCCCAATTCAGCAATTAGGTCTATAGCATCCCCTTCAGAATATCTCTTCTCCTATAGAGATAATTTCCGTCGTTTTCTTCAAAATCACAGCCATCTCTTGTACTTGTCCGATAGAGAGAGATCGGTTGTAATCGACAGAGAGAACCTTCAGAGATTGAGAAAAAGGACGCGAGCAAATGATCTATTAGGGTAAAATGCTTTAACTAGTCACTTATTCTAAGTTGAGTGTATGAATCTATTTTTTTCTATCTAAAGTGAGACAAAATTTGTGGCGAGAATATGAACTATGTTATGTATTTCCAGCGTCAATTAACTATGTTATAGGCTTGAATGTGCTCTAGATTTTTTGTATGTTGGTCGAGATTAAGGGGCCTTTTGTTGCCTATAACTGAAATTGTGATTCAATTAACTCGTGTTGATCCTCCTAAAAGTTGTTCTTCGATTTTACTGTTCTTGTTCTGCGCTTGTTCATCTGTGTATGCTGGTTCATGCCTGTGACACTGGAAGTCCCTTAGTCCAATATTTAAAAAAAGGTTCATTCATGATATACCTTACTTGTTAATGCTTCTATCCACTCTTCTTAATGATATGACAATTCACATCTTCTGTCTCCTTCATACAAATTTTTTTGTCACTATGCAATTGTTAATTCTCGAAGTAGTCAAAGAGACTAATTAATTATATTCAATACAAATTAATGTTAGGTAATAATGTGATCTTGGAATACAACACTCCCCCTGCTATGTTGTTCTTGAAGGATGGCAGTAATAAGCTTTTGTTTGGGGGTTTCTTGGACCACTTATTGGCACTTCTTGCTGAGTACATTTCAGGGAGAGGCAATGCAGTGTGGTTTGGGCAGTGTTTGGGCTCCTCCTTTAGATTTTGGTCACGGGTGCCACTAGTTTCTAGAGGCTGTTTGGCCACTGCTAGGACTACTCAAGACAGATTGCCGGATCCTATGTGGCTCTTTCGCATTGATTGGCTGGTACTTGAAGGTGGTCTACTCAATGGTATTTGGAGGTGCACTTGGGAGTCAAATACCTTAGATGAGAGGTCATGGACTGTATTTTGGGGCAATGATTGGACTGCAAGCTGAAACTGAACTATGGGGCACTGGTTTGCTGCTGGTTTGCACCGATTTGCTGCTGGTGTTGCTGATGTACTTGGCCTAAAGCACTGCTAAGAACACTGCCAGGAAGCTGCTGGTTTTGGTTGTGTTTCTAGAGTGTTTTGAGCTGTTGTTTTGACTGGCCCAACCATAGGCAATGGCACACTCTTGAAGGGAGTTGTGTGGCCATTGTTTGACACTTGATGGGGCTGGTTTGACCTTTTTGTGACATTGATTGAGGTTCCACTACTACATAATAGACATTTAACATCGCCCCATACCCATCGGATATCACGAAAACCGCTGGGTAAAAACAAAAAAATTCGCCCATCGTTATCCGACTAGTTAACTGTTATGCTTGTTAATATTCTATGGACATTATACACCCCATTTTTAAAAGCCGCTGCTTAATCATTTTCTAACTTTATGCTCTCCAATAAAAAGATACTAGTCCAGTACTCCATATTATATTCAATCACTCTTCGATCTAATCATTCATGGTCATTAAACTTTTGCAGGTAGACCAGATATCGAACTTTGAGAAATTCCTGATAAACTAAACTACGATTGATTAGAACAACTCCGAACTCTTCCACTACGATAACACGACGACCGTATATATAGACCACGACTTCGATAAACAAGATTATGATCGAACATATATAAACCGAAACCGAAACCGAACTTGAATATTTTACCTCCCGGTATATCTGGTTCGGTGCTAGCAATGATAGGATGATGGTGTTTGTACGTGGCCAGATTGACTCTAAACACATCTTTTAGGATTGGATTTAGAGGTAGCAGAGCAAAATTGGTGTGAAATTTGGACAGTGTACCTTATATTTTTTGCTTATATCTCTTATTTGTAGGGTACTTATTATGTTTGAACTTTGTATTATGCTTTGGGCATTACACAACATGCTCTTTTTATTTTTTATTTTCTCTAATAAATATATACGAGTATAAATACTGCTAGCAATAACAAAAGTTTGTGCAAAAGTACTTTTAGATTAGACAACCTGTCCATGTACTTTTTATTTTCTTTCAATAAAAGTGTTTATTTTTTGAAATGATAATTGTTTTAAACCGAGGTTATTTGATTGTTGTCTAAAGTTTCACCCAAAATTATGAAAGTAATGTTAGATAGTGTACACATACTCATTGTAGCGAAGGTTATCGTTTCTTTGAACTTGAAAAAAGTTTGAGACCTAATAGCTATGCTACTGTTTAAAAAGAGTGTTCTTAACTTATTATAAACAACTCTAACAAAACAATTATATGACAAGACAATTAGTAATAGATTACTATTTCTCATATTTTTAAAAATAGTTCTACGCTTATAGACATTTGTGGCAACAAAAACGGTATTTTGATATTACACAGACAACTACTAATAGATTACCGTTTCTATGAACTTTAAAAACAGATGTTGGATAAGTACCTAGACTATTGTTAAAAGGGAGTATTGTATTCTTATTATAAACAACAGTGCCAAAAATACTTTATGACATAGACAACTAGCAATAGATTATTGTTTCTTATAATTTTAAAAATAGTTCTAGACTGAATAACTAGACTACTGTTTAAAAAGAGTATTCTTAACTTATTGTTGACAACTGTGATAACAAAAACTGTATTTTGATGACACAGACAACTAATAATAGAATACCGTTTCTCGAAACTTTAAAAATAGTTTTAAGCATAATACCTAGACTACTACTTTTGTAGCTAACAACAACAAACAGTAGTCTAAATTTTTTTTAACTACTGTTTTTTCATAAACAGTAGTTAATCAACAGTCGTCTGACACTGTTTTTGGCGTAGAGCACACATATACACATATTTTTATATGTCTGTATATATTTTTATGTGTCTACACATTTATTTTGTATATAAAAATGTCTCATATTTTGAAATATCAATAGAGAAACAAATTATAAACAAAAAAAATTAGGAAAAACTATTACCGAATTCGGATCGGATATTCGGATAAACGGTTATTGAAACAGATGCATATTCGGATCGGATTTTAAACGGATCGGATATACAATTACCGAATTCGTATCCGTTTAGTAATCGGATATCCTTAATTGGATACAGATAATATCCGTTTAAAACAGATGCGGATGTTTTTAAACAGACTATCCGTTGACAGGTCTAGATGTGATAAATGCAATAAAAGGTTTTAGCCTAAAGAGCCAGTGCGTGAAGGTTGGGTCGGTCTTGATCACAAATATGACCGACTCAACGATACTAAAGGCTGCGGTCTTCGTTCTTGGTCCCTTTTAGCTCTTGTTCTTATCTTCGTTCTTCGCTTTGTATATTCAATGCTTGACTTGATCACGGCGGTTTGGCATTATCAAAACCTGTCATAAAAACGAACACGTCTTTAGTACGAAAACATGACAAGCCCGTGTTTCAACACATTCCTAAATCCTATGGGGCCACTCTCCTCACTTTGATTCCTAAGCTGGACAACCCTAAATCTTTGGGAGATTATAGGCCAATCTCACTTTCCACTTTCCTCTCAAAAATCAACACTAAGATACTAGCCAATAGACTAGGTGCACTTCTTCACAAACTCATCAGCCATGAGCAAAGTGGGTTTCAACCAGGTAAAGGAGTGGAAGAAAACATCCTCCTTACCCAAGAGATGATTCACTGCCTTGACAACCCGTCTAGGAGTGCCAACATTGCTATCAAAGTGGACTTTGCAAAAGTGTTTGCCAGAATTTCTTGGCAATTCTTAGAGGCTTCTCTAAACTCCTTTGGCTTCTCCTCACAGTCATGCCACCTACTCCTCTCCACACTCAAGGCCACCCATTTCTCAATTCTCATTAAAGGATCTCCTCATGGGTTTTTCAGAATGAAGAGAGGGGTTAAGCAAGGTGACCCTCTCTCCCCCCTTCTCTTCATACTTGGAAATGAAGGTCTAAGTAGAATGATTAAGGGGAAGGTTGAGGAGGGTTACCTTAAAGCAATACAAACAGGGAGAAGCAAACCCCCCTCCCACCTTGCATATGCAGACGACATAATATTTTTCCTAAATGGCCATTTCAGAAACTTGCTCAGATTCAAAGGGATTATTGACTGCTTTCTGAATTCATCAGGACACATGATCAATCTCAATAAAAGCCATTTCTACACTGGTCCAAGAGTAAAGCCAGAAGTCAAAGCTAACATGCAAAGGGCACTTCAAATGGGAGAGGGCAGATTACCTCTAAACTACTTAGGGGCAACCATTGGAAAAGGAAAACTAAGGAAGGAAGATTGCAAGAAAATTGTCCAACATTTTGATGCCTATCTTAACACTTGGTATAGCAAGGTGCTAAACCAAATGGGGCGTTTGATTCTCATTAAGCATGTCCTCAGCTCTATTCCATTACACATTGTTGCTGTCCAGCAAATGCCCAAATCTATTCACAACATGTTGAACAAGAAGATGCAGAACTTTCTATGGGGATACAAAGAGGGAAGGCCTAAATATCATTGGGTATCCTGGAGAGGCCTATGCTTCCCAAAACATGAGGGAGGTTTGGGCATTAGACACCTGGAAGATGAAGAAGCAGCATACTCAACCAAACTTTGGTGGAAGATTAGGAACTCCCAGGGCATTTGGGGAGAATACATGAGAAGTAGATACCTAGATTCTTTTCAAGAACGTCCTAAGGACACTGTGACATGGAAAAGGGCTGCTAGGATTCATAGCTGGGCCTTATAGCATGTCCTCAAAGTGGAAGAAGTTGACACTTGGGAGGGAGAGCCATTCACCACCAAGATAGCATACCACGCCTCGAGGGACTCTAGGCCTTCCTCTCTTTCTAATAAGATGATCTGGAACAAGCTTCAAATCCCAAAGATCAGCCTGTTTTTGTGGAAAGCTTTTAACAATATACTTCCTTTCCCGGAAAACTTAACCTGGTTTAACCTGGCGTTTCCTTCACAATGCAGGTTTTGTTTCAATGGTCCGCAGGAACTCGACCATACACTGTTTCATTGCCAAATGTCTTTCAAAATATGGAGGTTCTTCTCTGCTGCTTTTAATGGACCTGTTCCTAATAAGGAAGAAACCCTACACGAGACATGCATGAAATGGTGGGTATGCACGCCTAGGACTAAGCTGCTAGACAAAATCAACTCGATTCTACCAGGTTTCGTTGCATGGGGATTATGGAAGGCTTACAACGAAGAGAAGTACGAGGGGAAAGCTTTCAAAGAAGGGAATATCATTGCAACAACCATGAAGACTATACAACAATGGATATGGATACACAACGGCAAGAAATCGATGCACCTGGACGAAACTTTGAAATCCTTGGGCTTTCGGTTGCACTTTAGCAAGAATAATTCTTAATGTTTTCTTGTTTAGCTTTTTTATCTGGTAGGGCGAATGCATCTCCCACATTGCTGTAAACATTCCTTACTTTATTTCAATTAAAATTTCGTATTTAAACATATATATATATATATATGAGACTCCTTAGCTTATTCTAAAAATTTGACATGTGCCTCTTTAAAAAATGACAAATAACTCTTTAAAAAATTGAAATGTGGCAATATCTATGTGGCATTATTTTTTGACATATTCTAACTTAATTATGTAAGGCAATCAAAAAAAACCAAAAAAATATTTTGTTAGAAATTTATGAAAGGAAATGAATTACAAGTTAAGTAAACATTTAATATACTTAAATAAATATTTAACAATCACTCAAAAAGAATCCAACATGGGATTGACAAATAATACTTGACATGAGATTAAATTAAAATTTTAATTTTTTTTCAAATTCATATGATTAAAATTTTGATAAATCGTTTATGTATAAAAATGAGACTTATATCTTTAAGAATTTGAAGTGTGTAATTATTATGTGATTTATTTCACCTAATTTCAGATAAGAAAATCCATTATCTATCCTTTATACATAAATTTGAGAATCCTTACTCTAAGAATTCGACATGTGACGCTTTAAAAAAATGACAAGTGACTCTTCAAGAAATTGACATGTGGCAATATCTATGTGGCACTATTTTTTGACAAATTATAAATTATTTATGTAAGACAATAAAAAATCAAAAAAATAATTTGTTAGAAATTTATGAAAGGAAATACATTACAAGTTAACTAAATATATAATATACTTAAATAAATATTTAACATTCACTCAAAAAACAATTCAACGTGTGATTAACAATTTAATATACTACAAATGATGCTTGACATGAGATTGAATTCAAATTTTAATTTTTATTCAAAATAAAATTATTAAAATTTTAATAAATCTTTAATATATAAAAATGAGACTCATATAGAAAGTTGATATGTGTATTTATTATGTGATTTATTTCACTTAATTTTCAAACAAGAAAATATGAAATAAATATGTGATTTCATTTTTTGAATAAATATTTCACTTATTTCACATTTCATGTTTCTCAATTGAAGAAATGCCATCAAGTGCCTGCTGTCATCACTCATCCTCCAGTGGTGCACTTATCACACCCTCACTGCCCCACTCCTATCCGTATCCTAGAGAGGAGATTGGTCAAGAAGGGGAATAAGGCAGTGACACAAGTCTTAGTTGAATGGTCTGGGTTGGGCAAGGAGTACTCAACTTGGGAGTATCTCACAGCACTTCAACAAAGGTTTCCTTCTTTCAAGACTTGAGGACAAGTCTCATCTTCTGATAGGGGGTATTGATACAAGAAGGAGAATGTAGTTGCTGAGTTGGCACAATTAATTAGCAATTAGTGAGACAAATCTGGAGCTAACTAACTGATTTTGTTAATTCAGTTGTATCCAATTGTATATAATACGCATATCCATTGTAAAGATACGGTGTGAAATAATAAACAAGCTTCTTCTTCCCTATTTCTCTCTCAATTCTTCTCTCGAATGAATTCCCTGGATTGAATTGTTCATATTCTTCGAAATATCTCATTTCCTAGAATATTTTCCTTGATTTTTGGTATCAGGATGTTGTACTTTAAGCAATAACTGAAAAAAGTAAAGTTTTCCCCCTCTTTTATTCCAAAAGGCGAAATCGCTCATCCCGGATGCCCCTCACCCCTACCCGACGGAATTGTTTGAAAATGTAAAAGATGATGACTCAATCGACAACAGTGGTTAGGACCTGTGCTCACTGCACGCAAGGAACCCCCCTAATTTTGAGAGATTGCTCCCACACTGACGTTGGTGAGACTCAGTCATCGGTCTCTTGTTCCAAATCTCACCTCTGAGACTAGGGTTGTAAAACGAACGAATCGAATTGAATATTGTGAAATTTTATGCATATTTGAAAAATGATAGCATTATTCATATTCATATTCATTTTTTATTCGAATAATTATTAATATTCGTATTCGATTTAATATTAATTTCAAATATTCGTATTCTTTTATGAAATACGATTTTTTATTTTTTACATTTTATAGCTTCAAAAACTAGTAAAAAATCAACTTAAATAAGAGTAAAATATAGAGAAAGTACCAAAAATATAAACTCCATATTCTATCTTTAAAATATGGAGTTTGCACTCTGGTAATGTGACACTGCATATGAACAATTCACAATACTTTTTAGTAATGTACATGGTCATGAATAACACTGTAAATGCATTTTAACTCCTATTCCGAGAATAAGAATATATATGTCCTATTTTGGTTTATTTTCAATATTTACTTTTACTTTAGTCTTTTTCCCAAAATTAATAGGCTACTAAAAAGGGCATGTCTATAACAACTACTCCCTCTGTCCCATTTTAAATTGCATGTTTGTCTTTTTTTCTCCGTCCCAAAATAAATTGCATGTTAGTTGTTTTCGTAAACTTTTAAAAATAAAATATCTAAACTACCCTTAAAATAAGTCGCTCTTCTTCACCTTATCTTCTCATTCATCGTCACCCATCCTAAAAGTAATAACAATTTCGAAAAATCAATTCTATTTTTTCATTTCCTTAAATATGCACAAAAGTCAAAACAAACGATTTAAAACGGGACAGAGGGGGTACAATCTAGTTAGATCCAACGAGGGTAGGGACTGGAGAGGATGTGTGTAGGCAAATCTTGCTCCTACGGAGACTTTGTATTATGAGGCAAACATATATTAGATATATATTTCTATATTTAAATTCGAATATATTCATTAATATATCGAATTGAATACATATATATTCATATTCGTATTCGTTTTCTTTCCAATTCTATTAAATATTTATATTCGGACTCATATTCATTTTTTTGAATACGAATAATTGAATTTGAATACGAATCACGAAACGAATCAAAATTATTCGTTTGTGTTACAACTTTATCTAAGACTAGTTGAGCTGCTCAGGTAAAAAAAAATTCCAATCTTTATTGTTGGGGACGTGTGGGGGGGTTATTTTGGGGAGAAAGTAGCCACTTTTTAGTTCCCCTTCACTTTTGGTTTGCAGATTTTGTTCCAAGAGACCCAAGAGGCTTTAGACTTTAGAGCCATCCCAAAAACAACCTATTGAGCTTAGTATTGATGAGGCAAATGAGTCTACTTGGGAAGATGGAGACAATCAATCTCAGGGCGGAGCACATCCAAGGTGCTCGATGAAATGTCCCAACCATTCCAGCAGAGGTTTTCACTTTTTTTATACACCCAATGTCCATATTCCACTTCACTTCAATTGGTGATTCGCAACCATAATTACATATGTGGTATGTTGAGTGCAGGTCCAAATCTATAGCTCCTTTTGGTGGAATCTAATTTTCCAAAAGGGCATCATCTTTCTGGAATTGCCAACAAAAGAATTCAGAGTTTTTGTTTTTTAAATGAGAATTGTCCTTCTCATTTTCTCTTCTTCTTCAGGGTTAGTAACTTCTAACAACACTTTCAGGGTCCGTTTGATATATGGAATTGACGAAATTGAAATTGAATTGAAATTCCATGGGATTCAATTCCATAGAATTGAATTTTGCCAATTCCAATTCATATTTACACTATCAATTCCAAATCCACACAATTTTTGTGCTATCAAACACTAGAATTGGAATTGAAGTCCTCAATTCCAATTCCATGATTTGAATTCCATGTACCAAATGTTGGGGAAATTAATGATAACTTGGATGAATCGAGAGTTTTGTAAACACTTTCAGATTGAATATTTTGGTTGTTCACTCCAAAATTCAATCGGAAATTAAAATTCTAATTGAACCCCGCAGGGGCTGCCGCCCCTTGAACCCTGCTCGGGGGCGCTGCCCCCGAACCCCCGGTGTAACGGGTTTTATATCGTAACAAACTCAATAAAGCGTGCACTCCGCACCACCAAACTTCTTTGATGATTATTAGGATACCATTGGTCGTAGTTTTTCCAATTACACTAAAATATATAACACCAAACGGGGCCTCAGAGTTTCAGTTTTTGCTCTGAAAGATATGTTGTTCACAGACATAACTTAGAATTTCAAAAAGGACCAACCCCAAGAGATTCACATACTATATACAAACAAAAAATGGATTCATCCTTGATGTCTCTCAACAAATCACTTCTTTTTGTGGCCTCCTTTTCCACTTTTTTTCTTGCCTTTATTCCTTTTCCCTTGCTGCTGCTGCTGCGGTTGCTTGCCCTGATTCTTCTTCCCACCACCATCATCATCATCGTCTTCGGTGTCATTTTCATTTCCGGGCAGTTCATCACTCTCAGACTCCACAACGCCTCTGCCCTCGGTCACAATGACACTGCCCAAGAAACCTTCCACTTTGGGCTTCATCTTCGACAACCTCTCCTGCACCTCTGCAACCATCTCGCACTTCTTTCCATCATAACTGCAAATTTTGTTTTTCACGTACAATTGCCTTTTTTGGTCCAGGTCCTCCTTCAAACATATACAGGAAGAAAAAGAAAACAAAATTCAGCATTGAATTCGATCTGTACAACAGAAGACAAGAAATGGGGGCAATAATTCCATGGGAGTTTTGATATTTTACCTTTAACTTCACAAAGTCAGAAGCTTCATCCAAAACAGCCCATTTCATTTGCAAACTGCTTCGCTCCACCTTGCCTTTGGGTTCTAGATTTTGCATGGGGGCTTTGATGTCCGAGGAAGATTCTTCCATCACAGAACTCCTCTTGCCATGATATACACTCAGGGGAAGCAGACAGCATGAGTTCTTGATGACATCTTCTTGTTTATCTTCTTGCCCAGCTGAGGCAACTCTTTCCCTTGGGAACACCATCTCCATGATGTCCTCTCTAGAATAATTTACGTTGATTTGTATTGGAATAGTGTAGGGGCACGCAGATTTTGGAGTATCTTGATTCAGGCACACAAGAAAAGCAGGATTCCCTATGGCTTGGAGAGCAACAGCAATTCTCTGTTTGTCTACATATACTTTCCCCTCTCTTCTAAAAACTTGAGTGAACTCTAGTGGAAGGTCACGCGAAACATATTGGGTATTAAGCACGTGGTTGAGAAAATTGACGGGTTCAAGAGAGTCATAGTTCATGCAGATTGTGCAGAGAATAACCACCAGCCTCAAAACCAGCGATTCATGATACTCGCGAGACTTAACTCCAAACTTCCCAACCCATGCACGTCTCTCAAGATTCTTGAAGAGGAGGTCATGCAGGATGGGAAGAATGGAGTCGTACAACATGTAAGGCTCTGGAGGTGGGAAGCTGTAAGTGACAGTGGCATCTAGTTTCTGAAGCATCAGCCACTCCACTAAAGAGGACTTGGTTGTGTAAAAGGTGGGATTAGAGCAGAAAACCAAAATTAAGAAACGCTCCACAAGATATAAGAAGCAGTGAGGTGAAATGTAGTCATTCATGTTTTGCCAGTAGACTTGATATGTGTCTAGCAAAGCTTGAAGGAACCCGTGAACCAACTCCCTTGGCTGTTTCTCGCTTCTTAGACTCTCTATGAAAGCCATCCATGCCGAATCGCCTCTTATTCTTGACATCACCTTGTTGCACAGTTGATCTGCAGGTTTGGCAGAGCCAAACCATATCATCACAAATCGCCCGATTTGCCCAAGGGTAGCAGGTCCACCTTTCCTACTCTGATCACGGCTGATATGATCTTCAAGCAAACTTTGGGAAACATCAGTCCCTCGCAAAGAAATCATCTTTTCTTCCATAGATATCCGGAAATGAATAGGAAACACAGTATCAAAGTACCCCATCGATTGTTGGAAGAATTTGCGTAGCTTCGCCTCGTAATTCTTGCTGTTGTTTAACTCCTTGGACCCAAGAAGAAACTTTGAGATCTGATATATGTTCATAAGGCACATGCTCTGTCTAAACACATAGAATGACTGCATGGAAATGCTACAGTAAAGGGAATTGAGCATTTCCAGAACTTTGACACCTACAGAGACCACTTCATTCTGCCAGTAATTCCGAGCAGCAAATATGAACTGTCCCTCATCAATTGAGAACATTTGGTTATCCTCCCTAATGAAACTCTTATTCACCTTTGTAAACCATTCGGCATCAGGATTTAAAACGACATAGCTGGCTTTCGTATCAGTGAATTGTCGCCTCACACCAAAATAGGCCAAGCAGAACTCACCAATGCCATTATATTTACCAAAATCTTGGGTTACCTGAAGACAACGGAGGGATTCAAGAATGTCAAATACATTTTTCTTCCATACATTCCAAAAGTGACAGAGGGATCCGACAGAGAGTTGGTTACAGAACATTGTATCATCCGGGAAATTCAAGTCAACCGGAAACTCGTCTTCCCATGAATAACTTGCTGCTCCGACTTCAGTGTGTGCATCCATAATTTTCCTGACAAATAAAATTTCACATGTAACACTCCCACAGTTCTCAGAAGCACTTAGAGCACGCCTCAAATCACACATATTGCTTTGGTTGTGCTCCAACACCTTTGCCTCAGTACAAACAGACTCATAGAAAGGATCAGATTCATTCCTTGCAAATGAGATGGCCTTCTTCAATAGTTCATCCTTGGACTCAAAAGACTTTAGGGGCCATGGATTGCCTCCACGAACCCACAAAGAGTTGGATAACACATACCAAAGGATATGTGAAGTTGCTTTGATGAAATTCCCACCTTTGCTTAGAAGCTCCACCTCTAGTAGGATATCCCCTTTCAGTATAGCAAGTTCGGCAGCTTCAACAAAATTTCCAGCTTCTTCTTCCAAATGTAACAAGTCATCCAGAAAATGCTGATTCTTTAAGAACCTCCTCTTGTCGTCCATTGACTTAAAAGCTTTAACGAACTTCATCATCGATCTCTTATCGTTGCTCTCCAAGTAATCAGATGCACACCTTTCCAGAAATTTCTGCTCAATTCTATCTATTACTTTTGCTCCTTCACCCACGTCATTATGATGAGCAGCATTTTGTTTCCATTGTTCTACATACTGAAATCCCACGTCATAAAGGTGTCCGATGCGGCAAACTGATAAACACTCTGAGAAACAGTTTTGCTTTGCATATATTTCTGCGGCAGTTTCATAACGTCCTGCCAATGTAAAACACTCGGCAGCCTTTTTCTGCTCACGTTCACCACATTTCTTCAAGTACATAGTTCCTTCATATAGATGAGAATACAAAAATTAACCACTACAATTCAAATGCAAGTGGAAGTATGGGTCATTTACGAAAAAATTGAGTTATAATTACCTGCATGTTCATACTCCTTTAAGTCACAGAAACATTCAGCAGCAGACTTGAACCTACCAATCGACTCAAATATTTCAGCAGCTTCCCTAAGATTAAAGTTAGAGGCTTTGGGATTTGAATCTTGCATCCGGTAAGCAGTTTCCCGGATGCTGGAAGCTTTAGCTTGCTTCTCAAGCGCCCTTTCTCCTGCTCTTTCAAAACACATGATGGCCATTTCATAATTTTTCTCCCAAAGAAGCTGCAAATCATAATAAATGCCACAAGTATTAGAGAAATGTGATTTAAAAATCTAAACTTTTTGGAATTGATTCTTGCATCAAGCATATAAACAACATACTCCTTTTGTCCATAGTTATTAAGGTGTCGCTTAGGCGCTATGAGATGGACGCCTCACTGGAAAACACCTAAGGCCATGAGGAACTCTTTTTTTAAAAAGTAACATGTGTTCCCTCCCCCTCTCGCGCTCGCCCTCTCCTTCTCTCCTCCTCTCCCTCTCCCTCTCCCTCT